TTTAAGGTTTTGTCGTGCTTTCAGAGATTTTATAATTGCCATATTGATTGGAAGACAACATTTTCCATCTTTATTCTTTTGGTTCTTTATGTTACTGGCTTTAGGTATCTGCAGGATGCATTCAAGGTCCCGCTTGTGATACAACTAACAGATGATGAGAAATGTATGTGGAAGAATTTAACCGTGGAGGAAAGCCAGAGGCTTGCCCGCGAAAATGCTAAAGATATAATTGCTTGTGGTTTTGATGTTTCAAGGACGTTTATATTTTCCGACTTTGATTATGTTGGAGGGTAGGTGATAACATACCCCATTTGCTATTCCTTTTTTATTTGTGAAGTTTTATTTGCTTATGTACATTTGGGAAAAACGGTAAGTCTTCTGATAATACTTTTTTCCTTATGATTTTTCCATGTGCTGTACGTTGGTTTTAAATTGTTAATTGGTTATGCTGAAAGATAGTGCTGTGATCTGTTGCCATTCAATAACTTAATTACATTTTATACCTGAGTCCATTAGGAAAGATTATAGGTTAATCTTAAAGTATCTGTATAATTGGGTAGGACTCTAGTTGTTGGACTGAAGGCTTTTGGATAAATGTGAATATCAAGAGCAAGTAATTGAGTGTTAGAATTGCTGGTTAGAACTTAGAAGTTTGGTATAAAGGATAAGTAAAGGAGGCTGTGGCTAGTTTATCTACATGTGTGATCTTGATTGCTTCAAACTCCCTCATTATATTATACGCGTCTGAAAAGAGTTATTCAGATAAGTGCATTAACAAATCTTGATGACTCAAGACATAAGGTGTATACCTTTTATATAATATAATATGGAACTAGTAGGATTTCTGATCAATGTGTTCCTTTGCATCTAGTAATCTCGTTTTTCCTAATTTGCAAATATGCTTACAGTGCTTGGATTTATTCTGCAGTGCCTTCTACAAGAACATGGTCAAGATTGCAAAATGTGTGACTTACAACAAGGTGACTAGTAATTTCATGCAATTCTGTATAGGTACTTAAGAGATATCAGGTTCAAGTCAAAATATGATGCTTAATTGGTTTTGCAGGTAGTTGGTATATTTGGTTTCACTGGTGAAGATCACATTGGAAAAGTGAGCTTTCCGCCTGTTCAGGTATGAACCTCTATATTTACAAGATGAGTCATACTATTTTACAATATATTATCTGCAGTACAAGATGCTTGGCATATCAAGATGAAATATGGCACAGCCAATCATTGTAACCCTGTCATTACTGATTGGCATTTTAAGTCATCAACTTGCTCTTGATGTGTGTTTACTTGATTCAACATATATAAATTTGCTTCTGTTTTGAATGAAAATTTGCTATAAATTCTGGTGCACTGTGTAAGATTGCTAATATCATTACTGAACTGTCGATATAGCACTTACAGTTCATCAATCATCACACCTTGATTTTTATTAAATCATGATATACCATTTTTGTGTTGTTTATAAATATTGTTTTAGACTTTTAGATAAAAAAGGTCTCATTTCGTCCAATCTTACGTTCAGATTGATCCCTAAATTCCACTTTATTTTCACCTTCGGAATTCATTTAATTTTGTTATTCTATATCTCTAATTAAGACAGTCATCTGGCGGGAGAGTGAAAATTTTGTATTAGGATGTCTTTGACCATTAAACACCATTGATAATAATAAATTGTTAAACATTGTTCAATTATTTTTAATAGCCTGGCTTTTTAATTATCATCAGACATCAATGCTTTAATGGCTGAACTTTCCCACCATGTTTCTTGCTAGTAAATTCTGATCACAGAATTCTAGAAAATGTAGGAAGAACTGAGTTTTTCAATTCTTTTGTTGATCTTAAGCCGGTTGATGATTGTTGTAGCAAAATATATTTTTACCGAGTACCGAATCGAAAGATTCGTTCCCCGGGTCGATCTCTCGAGGAAGGCGGTTCGGAATATAGGAATGGTGTTGATAACATATTAAAGAAAAATAAATCCTAAACACTCTAATTAAGATAGTGATTTTTAATTATCAACTACGAAAGAAAATTCAAACAATGCAAAATCGAACTTAAAAACAAAGATGAAGATCAAAGGATAAGAAGCTAAGGAATCGAGGATGATGATTTTCTAACCAATGCTAATATCAAGCTAAGATCATTCGGTTAAATGATTCGAACAACCTAACGTCTAGAGATAGTCCTCAATAACTCTTCGTAACAAGAGGGTAACATAGACGGTAAATCGCGCAAATCACACAACACATAGACAATACGTTTCCGAACAAGTCTATTTCATGCGAACTTAGATCGATCAACTCCTCCCCTTTCGGTTCTAAGAGTTGATTAATTATACTAGACGATTGTTAATCTACTAGTTCGTTGGATTTAAACACGTCACACAAGAACGAATCATATTCAATTGGAAATCAATTGCAAATCGAAGTGTCACTCTTCGACAATATTAAACATTCAATGTACGAGAATTGTAAACCTAGTTAAGAACAACTCGCATAAATTGAGCGATCAATAAGCATGATAATCACAATTAAATTCTAAACATCATTATCAACCCCTATCCCTAGCGAAACGAATTAGCCACTCATATGGAATTCAAAATCAACAATCAAAGCCATCATATTCATGGATTAGATGAAAAGAGAAACTTACGATTAATAGAAATCCAATATTCGAATCCAATGACAAAGCTAAATCCGAAGCAGAGAAAAGGAGTTTTCAATCTCCAAATCAAATCCAAAGTGCAAACGTATGAAAAGGAATGAGTTTCTAGAGAGAAAAAACGTAAAAATAGAGTCTGGAAGTTGAATTATGAACCCTAGGATCAAAATATGGTCTAAAAATCTGGTCCTCGAAATTCGCGCCGGTAAAGTCGCGAGTCGCGACATTGCCTTTTCTTCGGTCGCGAGTCGCGACATCATCGCGATTCGCGACATTGCCTTTTCTTCTTCGGTTGCGAGTCGAGACATCATCGCGAGCCGCGCGTCGTCAAGATGTTCAATTCCTGGAGTCTGGTCGCGACCTACGTCGCGAGTCGCGACTGCATCTCGCGAGTCGCGACTCGTGCTAGCATACTGCACCTTCAGGCTCTGTTTTTCTCGCGAGTCGCGGCTTTCATCTCGCGAGTCGCGACTTTGGACTGTACTGCGCAATTTTACGTTTCGGGCTCGTTTGGGCTCGGAATTGAGTTCCGTTTTTTGCTATACGTCACCAACGAACTCCTCTATCAAAATATGCGCTCGAAACAAACTTTTGCTGAAGAGAAGATTCACCCGAAACTCCCGACCTACACACCAAAAACGACAAAACACGAAGAAAACCGGGAAAACAAACGAAATAACACCTAAAGACTCAAAATCAAGAAAAACACATAATAAAACACGAAACGGACTAAAAATTAATAAAACGACCTAAAACGGGAGAAAGAGAAAGATAAAATAAACACGAAAAATGCAACAAAAATGGGACAAACAATGATTTAGAATTTTTTCTTGGTTTCACATTCTGTTTTCTCTTTTTTCTTGACCATTTATTATATTTCATTGTTATCAGGCAGCTCCGTCTTTTCCAAGTTCTTTTCCACATCTGTTCGCTGGTAAAGATAAAATCCGTTGCTTGATTCCATGCGCAATTGACCAGGTATTTTGTTGTTGCTGTTCAGATGGTACTAACTTCACTAATTCGGAATGTATATTTCCATTTAATTAGTTGCTAAATAAAGTTGGTATTTGAATCTAAATTACACTATATAATACAATACGAATCAGTGTTGTCTAAATGTATGAGAATTTTAAACGTCTTGATTTTAAAAGTGTGATGCGCTTAATATTCTGCTTATTGTCATTTTTCTGTACAATTTATATAAGTTAACTATGGTAATAATGGTATATTGTCAATGTTCTGCCTTGATTGTCTATGTTGTGAATAATTTTGCTTCCCCTTTTATATAAATTTGTGTATGGAGTTTGATCAGTATAATCCGACAATGTAATTACTTTAGCAGGAAATATAACTACCACGATATAAATGCTTATACTGCACCTGGTATAGAATTTAGCTACTCTTGGCTTCTAAACAGTCAAATCTCAAATACATTCGAAATTGCTGTAATTAATCTGTTTTTTCTCTATTGTCTAAAGGATCCTTACTTCAGAATGACACGGGATGTTGCTCCTCGAATTGGCTATCACAAGCCTGCTTTGATTGAGTCGTCCTTCTTTCCAGCTCTTCAGGTTTCTTTCTGATATCCCATTCACAAGTAATACAATAGCATGAGGTCATTTTTCAGTTTGTTTATTTTTTATATTTTATTTTATTTGTTTGTGTGGATTGTTGGTGGTCACTGGCCTCAAAATTCTGTATGTTCATTGTTCTCCTTCATTTATTTTCCTTTAGCATTTTTCCAATTTAAAAGTTTTTAAGTGAAATGCGATGGAAAATATGATCATCCACACTCTTTACTTCTTTTGATGATATTTATTGTAGGAGAATTCACCTACATAGACCCTCTATTCATTATGAGAATTATTGACCTGTGAGTTGAAATGAAGATATAGTGTGTAATGTGTACTTGAATGGTGATCTTCTCTTCAGGGAGAGACTGGAAAAATGTCGGCCAGTGATCCAAATTCTGCTATATATGTCACTGACTCTGCCAAGGACATTAAAAACAAGGTTCCTCTTTATAAACAATTTTGTGAAAACTCTTCCTTTATTGTAAGTCGTCGAAAATCATTACCTCGCCTCCTTTTTGTTACAGATAAACAGATATGCATTCTCTGGTGGGCAAGATTCAATAGAGAACCACAGAAAGTACGGAGCAAACCTTGAGGTAGCAATATTAAGTCACTCCTATTTTGAAGACTAATCATCTCCTATCTTTCTAATTCAAATTTATTCGAATTTGTTCAGGTAGATATTCCGATTAAGTATCTCGGCTTTTTCTTGGAGGATGATAGTGAACTCGAGCACATCAGAACAGTAAGGACTTATCTCTGTCATTTTATTTGTTAGTTGACAAACAAGTTTGTAGATAAGTACTTAAGGCTTAGCTTTATTTCAAAGAAACCCACTTTTCTTTCAAAATTTCAAATTACTTGTGTTACAAAAGTGCATCATTGGGATGGGGTTATGTATATGTATGGGAAACACAGACCTCAACGGATCATTTATAATTCCAGAAGATAATTGGGATTTTCTTGGGGGTATATTTGTAATTACCATCTGTAACACATGTTTTGTCGTCGTACAGGAATACGGTGCTGGGCGTATGCTAACAGGTGAAGTGAAAAAACGGCTTATTGAAGTTTTGACCGAACTGGTCGAAAGACATCGCAGGGCACGAGCTGCTGTGACTGATGAGGTATAAACTATATAATTCCTCCTTAAGGTTGTGTTTGGTGTGCATGACTGGGTAGGATTATGGGATTAATAAGGGGTTGGTCCTATGTTCACATGATTCCGGCTTTCAGATTTCTCAAATTGGCACCAATACTTTTTTTAAGAAAAAATTGAAAAAAAGGGAATATAAAAGAAGCTCTTGTGCATTAATTTGGTAAGATTTTTCTTTTTAGTTTCAACATGAAAAAGAATGGAGAGGTGTGATGCCGATAGAGAAAAGAAATAGCGGGTTTGATCGGTTTTTATTCCTGCGGAACTGACTTGCTTCTTTATTAGGGAGGGTGAGGGTGAAATAGACTTTACACATTTGTATCTCATGGTTTATCAAGAGAAACAAACACTTTAGGGAGTTAACATTATTTTATCCGGAATATTACTCTTGAATAACAAATATAGCTTTAATTTAATCAACACATTACAATCTACCATCATATATTAAAGAATTCAATCTCATCCCGTGAAACAAACGAGGCCTTAGTTGTCTTTTGATCATTTAACATCTAAAGCTGTGTGTTAATTGTTTATTGGATAGAAATATGATCATCTGTTTTTGTGTTGGGTGCAGATGGTAGATGCATTCATGGCGGTCAGGCCACTTCCAAATATGTTCAGCTGAATTTGGCAAAGCTTTTTTATATGAGCTTGTAATGTCTGATAAAAGAGTTGGTCTCCAAAATTGTTACCAAAAAATCCAAATTTTCTTCATTTTAACTTCTTTATGAATGAGATTATGATTCATGTTAGGGAATATTTATCTCAGCTATTTGCATAAATGAAAAAGAAACAATTAGAGTGACAAATGGCTTAGGCCTGTAGCACTACTTGAAAAACAAATGTAAAACAGTACGATATAAAAAGTTCATACAAGTATAAATTGGGTGAAATGTCTATCTAATTTTTCAACTATATGATCTGAGTGCTTGTATTTATAGCAAGTAGTTTTGAAGAATAATACATAATGGATGTTAGGCCTGTAGCATTCCTGAAAAAAAAAAAAAAAAAATGTAAACAATACGATTTAAAAAGTTAACAAGCATAAATCAAGTGAAATGTCTTTATCTAAATTTTCTACTATATGATCGAACTGCTCGTATTCATAGTGAAGTAGCTTTGAAGAAAACAAATAATGGCAAATTGGGACACCATGCAAAGTTTGGAATCGATTTTCTAGAACATTTATCATTCTAGGACAATTTTTAACTTCTAAAACAACAAAATAAAAGCATCACGTAGGACAGTTCCACACAAATATATTTTTCTCTTTTTAGAGTACGGAGTTTCACACAATTGAATTTTCAAATTTGGAAATGTGTTCTTTTCCATCTCTGTGTTATGTCCTCGTTAGGATTTTTTTCATGTGGGTTTGAAGTTGTTGGTCTTGAACCTTAGTTGGATTTTTAGTTTTGAATCTCGTTAGGATTTTTTTTCATGTGGGTTCGAAGTTGTTGTTCTTGAACCTTAGCTGGATTTTCAGTTTTGAATATAGTTTTGATTCTTTTGCATCTCTGTGTTAGGTCCTCATCAGAATCTTTTTCACGTGGTTTTGAAGTTATGAGTCTTGGACCTTTTGGCGTTCGATCTTTTAAAGAAATGTTAACTAAAAATTTGCTAGATGCCCTCTCAACTTATATCTTGTCTTACTTTAAAACTCCCTAGACTTTTTGTTTGTAGGCTGCTTATTAATTTCTGATGGGGTAAAGTGAGGTGGGTAGAGGAAAAATCTATTGGGCTCGGTTGGATAAAGTGGCCAAACCAGGAGGTTGAAGGCTTAGGATTTAGAAACTTAAATGTTTTTAATGAGGCACGCCTACCAAGGCCAATGTGGTGAAATTTGACTGCCTAATTTATTAGTGATTAGAGTGTTTAAAGTCATGTATTTCTTTAATAAAAAAACTCATGGACATCCAACTTAGGAGTAGCGATTCTGGTTGTGGAATGTTGGCTAGGGCTAGTGAGGGGTTGAAACTAGGTACTCCCTCCTATTTTAAATATTTGTCATCTTGACTATCAACACAGTAATTAAGAAATATTTTTCTTTCCAAGTTTAACCCTATTTAATGACACAATTGTGGATGGATGTTCTTGGAAATATAAAGAGACAATTGGTATTGATGGAGGGGTTAAAAAGGAAAAATATGAACAAAATAGTCAAAACAACATTTATTTAACAAATGATCAATTAAGCTAGAACGACAAATATTAAAAATAGGAGGGAGTACTTGATACCAAGTAAGTGAGGGTAATGCTATGCATTTGGAACTCGCCTTGGTTGCCTAAAACTCCTTCGTTTAAGCCTAGTTGTCCTTTCTAGAGTGATAGGAACATATTAAGTTGAGTTAGGGAGGTGTTGATTGACAATGGGAAAAGTGGTGTAGGGAATTAATCCTCCAGACATTTAATCCCTTGGATGCTGAAATTATCCTTAAGATTCCCATAAGTCATTTGGGGTAAATGATAAGTTAATCTGGCACTTTAACATGATGAGAGCATTTTCAGTAAAGGAGGTGTATAATGCAATCATTATCAATAAGGCTGGAATGCAGGTTGTTGTAAAATCAAGCAGGCAAAATATTTTCAGTATCAAAATGTGGAAAAGAACCTCGGCCCTTCCAATAAAAAAGAAGATAAAAAATCTCTTACGGAGGTGTTGACACAATTTCTTGGGTACTAAAGTCCAACTAGGAATAAAGTAACTAAGAATGGATATACATTGTGGCCTGTGTGGAGAGGAAGAAGAAGATCAAGAGTATGTGTTCTTAAATTGTCCAAGAGCTAGGAGAGTATTGAAGCTTATTGGCATCACTTAGACTGGTTGGTGTAAAAATAACTCTTTTTAAAATTGGTGGGTTGAAGCTTGCTTGGTTGATGAGGAACAATGCATAAATGACAGAGTATGCTTTCTTTCTTTCTTTTTTTTTTTTTAAAGAGAACCAATAGTGCTCTCACTTTCCCTCCATGGTGACTCATACTCATGACTTATTAGTCTTAAGTGAAGCGTCTTTTTAACGCCCCGTTTTATTTTAAGGAATTTATCGAATTAATTAATAAAAATCAGATTTTTTTTATTGTAAATTAAAAACATTTAACGAGAAACGGGCGCTACTTGCTAATGACATCAGATAAACACATCCATCAAACAAAAGAACCTACACATGCTCGGACTAACGACATAAAATTATCCCTTAAATTCATAAGTCTCAAAACATCCAAATAGGTCTAGCATGAAACAAGGTTCAACCAAACTTAAACATAATTCGAAAGCGGAAGCAAGAATCAATCCAAAGTATGGAAGCAAATAATTAAGTAACAAGTTCATGCATAACACATAATCAATATACAAAATCAAAGCAGGGATATAAGCACATAATGAAATATCCAAATCCAAACGGGAAAAATAAATCAAGTCAAGTATCAGTTCAGCAAATCATAAACAGGCGGAAGCATAATATAGCGATAACATAATTTGACCAACGATCATCCTCTCGCTCGTCTTTACGCCCCCGCCACCAACTCAACTCAACCTAGAGAAAGGAAGAGGAGACAACAACATAAAACAATGGGGGTGAGCAACCAACTAGCTCACCATTATCGCACAGTTATCCCGTATAATTATTTTAAAAGCAATAAAATCGTATCAATATCGGTATGCACATAATTCATAGCCTAAACCCCCTACCCAGCCCTATCGCAAACCTCCTATGTACATACAACAACCTTCCGGATACAACGACATGGCTGTAACTTAAAACATTCCCACCCCCGGGTACAACGGTTCGTAGGATCCTTTCCAGGAGACAATAGAGATGTTTTTCCCCTTCCGGATACGACGGCATGGGGCGTCCCTCCCGGATACAACGGGCAAGCGACCTCCTACTGTTTTCGCATTCATCAAGGCACTAGCGTTCGGGACACTTAGACCTCATGCTTACAAAAAATTTCAAAAGAAAACATTACACGAAATAAGGAGTGCGATAAATATGGAATACATCATAAATGTACCCACCTGATAGCAGCTACAGTTCAAATCACAAATCTCGAGACGAGGCGAGGTTCAACACCTCTCGACACCTACATTAAGTCCAGATACTAAAGTTAACACTTTAATCTAGACCTATGTAGCAAATTCACAAGTTGACTTAGCCGAACTCGGTTCGACCAAGTGGTTCGTGAAGTTCTGTGGATATGGGAAGACTAGGACTTAGACTCGATCAAACCACATATTCAAGTTCACATAAATGCAAGTGAAAGACAAACAAACGAGACACAAGTAAACACATGGTACATTTGGTCAACAACACTTAACACATTTCAATATAGAAAAACAATTTCTCAATTTCACACTTGAATTAGGAGGCATATCAAATCAATGAGTTAGGTTCTGAAACTTTTACATAAATTTCACATCCCAGTACTAAGTAAGATCACCCAATTTCAGCTTCAAACTTCTTATGCATAATTTTATAAAATTCAAACAAGTTTTTCAGCAAAAACGAGTTTAAATTAAAATCACATGATAATGGACGATTCAGGCTATGAAATTTTTATCTAAAATACTACAACATATGGACAACATCACATAAATATGCCAGCCTCCAACACTTAGGATAACAATTTTATAAAATTAAAACCACAATCAGCCAAATATCACAATTATATCAGAACTGATCACAACTGAACTCCAAAACTTCTAAACTTTTTACAGCATGCTAATCATCATATAATCAGCCTCTCCACAAATTTTCAGAATTTTTCAACTTCAGAACAATTTATTATAATTAAAATAAATTCGGGCAGAATCACAAAATAATTTGTTAACCCTATCAAACCTAGTTCAAAAATTCTAAAAATTTTTCACCATTTATAATCATGCTTGAGACATAACATAGTCGAAAATTGGTCAGAAAAAAACACTACACAATTACTTGTGCGTTTTACAAGAAACTGAACAGAAAATAATTTAATTTTTAAAAATAGCTAAACATCTTTAAAAATCACGAAAATCTTTCAGCAGCTACATATTCATCAAAAACAACCACTCCTAAAATTTCAAGGCAATTGGACTAGTATTTGATTTATAGTGAATTTTTCATTTAAAACAGCCAATATCAATTTCGAAAAATCATAACGGCAATTATTCACTTCCAATCGATACAAGGCCAACGCCATTGTGTTCGAAATAATCCTAAGTTTCTAAATCCACAGCAACTAATCACTTATATCCCGTCCTCGTTCGATTCGTACGAATCAACGAGTTTCACATAAAATCTCAACGATATATATACAACGAACAATTTCAAACACATATATATTAATTTAATGAACACGCAAAGTACAACCGATCACAACATCATTCACGTAAAAATTAAACGAGAAATTGAGGCTTGATACCGTTCTCGGAAAATAAGCGAGAAAAGGGTTCGAACGGGCTCGACGGTGAACTCGTCTCGCGAAAAAGGAGAGCTCGTCGTGCGTGAGAGAAATGCTGCCGGAAACGAGTCGCTATCATGAGAAAAGTAGCAAGTCGCCGGCGACGAAGGGTGCTCGACGATCGCTGCGCGAGGTCGCCGGAAGTGGTTTGGTCGCGGTGGCGCGAGGAGGAGGGTCGCGGCTCGTGGTGGCGCTGTGCAGCAGCGAGGAGTGGCTGTTCGCGAGAAGGCAGCGGCAGGCTCACGACTGAGTTGCTGCAACGGAGGAGGGTCGAAGTCGCCGGAAAATCTCACGAACAGAGGTGGTTGTTCGATCGAACGGAGGTGCTGTGACGGCGTCGCGGCGTGGCAGGACTCCGCGGTGGCGTCGCGGCGTGGCAGATCTTCCGTCGCGGTGCGGTGGATGAGCAGGGTCACGGCGGGGACTCGCGGCTACTCGAACTCGCCGGAAAAACGGTTTGCATGGGCCGCCGGAAAGTCTGCGCGAGTTGCTGTGCGCCAGTGATGTTTGTCGTCACTAACAGAGCGACGATGATGAGATGACGGGAACTGATCGCGATGATGGAAGGAGGACAGTGGTGATCGCTGGTTCACTGAGAAGGATGATGACGACGAAGCGAGAGGGAGAAGGTGAGAGATTAGAATTCGATCGAGCGAGAGAAAAGGGACGGGATCGAGAGAGAGAGAGAGATGGAGAGATTTGAGTCTGCTGCGGCATGAGTGTATCTGATGAGCGAGGTGAGCGAATAATTAAATCTTAGGGTTTAATTAATCTTGTAACACAAGATAACATACATACGTGCACAAGGGGTCCAACACGAGTGTGGGCCTGTTTGGTTTGTCGGGCTCGCGGGTCAGACGGTTCTTTCGGGCTCGATTAAACGTAACATTAAATCGATTCGGCTCGAAAAAATAAATTGCTCAATAAAATGAATGAACCGAACCATATATATATTTTACGTATATATATTAATAAACATTATTCTCATTTAATAATTTAATAAATCACGGAAATCAATTAGACAATTAGACATTTAGCATTTAATCACATTTTGGCAATTAAAAATATTACGGCATTAAAGAAAAAAAATAAATATAAATATTATTAAAAAAATAATAATAACAATAATAATAACAATAAAAATAATAATAATAATATTCTCAAATAATCCACAAATAAATGGGACATTACAGTCTTACCACCAAATTACGCTATTTGCGTCAGTGGGCAATGAGGACAAATAATAACTGAACATTCAAGGGGGAGTGGAAAGAGGAGAAGGAGATTGCAGAGGGTAAGGTTATAAACAAATTAAACATTATTTCGATCGTGATTCGAATTCGGTATTCAGGATTCATATTCGTAAAAATTCAAATTCGAATAAGAATAATGTTTAGTATCTAAATTTATTCGTATCTGAATCTGAATATGCACATATTCGATTCAAAATTATTGAACATTTGATTAGGTAATAATAACTATATATAATTTAATATACTATATACAATATAAGATTTTAATTATATGAGATGGTTTCAAGTGAGAATGATTCTCAGTGAAAGAAATAAAAATACACCGTACCCATCAAATTTGATAATCCAACGACAAGATAAGCCAAAATTGTACACCCATTAAGAGAAATTTGGACATTACCTCAATTCCCACCGACCCACCCGTGGGCCTCACCTCACCAACCCACCACTCTCTTTCACACACAGACACGCATACACACAAAACACACACCTTCCTTCAAACGTACCCACCAATCCACCCCACTACCGTGGCCCCCGTCGGAAACAATCTCTAGTGCCAAGTACTCGTGCGTTCCTATGCACGACTTCAAGAACGCCATCGTCAGCTCTGCCACAAACTATGTCACCCTCTCCATCCACATTCAGGTCTGGGTTTTGAGCCCTGGGGCAATGTTCGACTCGAGGCACATGTCGAAGTCTGGCATCATGCTTAGGTCGTCCTCCCGAATGAGCATGTTCTCCAGCTTGACGTCTCAGTAGATGATGCTCCGAGCGTGGAGGTACTCAAGGACAAGGAGGAACTCTACCATGTAGAACAAGACAACGGGGAGGGCCAGGTGGCACCGAGCTGGTGAAGGAAAGGGAGTGGAGGTCATCGTTGGGACAGTAGACGATCTAGTTTTGGGGATGGGGGCTTCCCGTTGAAAAATAGATAAGTCCCATTGAGTCATCTGCACATAAAGAAATTTTAAATATAGAACTTTAGTTCTTGGTTTAAAATTGTAATTTAATAAAAGTTTATAACTGCACAATAATATTTAATGCAATGCAAAATATCATGTGTGTATATGCATATTAAAAATATACGTTTCTACAGAGTACTATTAGATTAAATGCACGTTAATGCCTATGAGAATGCACATTAGCATGCACCTGAAAATCAAATCATAATGATTTAAATATAATATCGATTAACCAAAAGAAGAAGAAAATACATAATACTATAATATCTATATAAATTACTTTATGCCTGATAGGGATTATGGTATCTAACTGGACCGGTCAAGCAAAGACCCGTTAAACAAAGTCGAGTGGGCTAAAGTAGTAAGTGGGTGTAGGGTCGACCCACGAAGAGGCATCGACCCGTCAGCCTTACCCATGCAGGGGAATCGACCCGTCAGCCTTACCCACACAATAGCAGGGGCATCGACCCTTCAGCCCTACACACGCAGGGGCAGCGACCCGTCAGCCTTGAGATCGACCCATGGGATGTCGACCCACTAAATCGACCTGCTGGACAGGGGTTGAACTCCAACCCCTGTTCGACCCTTGGTAGCAGTGCCCAATGAAGAACCGTGCAGTTAAAACACTATATAAAGGATTAATGCAGTATTGGTAAGAAGAGACTGATCATTATTACATTTCTACAACATCAATTACACACATTTTCTCTCTCAAAACCGAGACACTAACTTGGGCGTCGGAGGGTCTTGCGCCGGAGCAATTCCGGTGCATTTGCAGGTACCGGCGAGCATTCGAGCTTAGATCGGACCGAGTTAGACGTGTTCACGCCGTAACTGGGAAGAACCCTTCGAAAGACCGGAGTTATCTATCTCGGACCATATCAAATTGGCGCCGTCTGTGGGACCCTAGCTCAACCGGCGTTGATCTGGTGGTATCTCATACATAGCAATCGGAAAGCAAGTTAAGGAGGAGAAAACGAAGTGAAGAAGATGGAGCAAGAAAGAGAATAGGAGCAAAGGGAAGATGATAACTCGTGGTTGCACAAGCGCCGTGTGGGGGCGGGGCCACCGCCGAGATGGGTGTTGTGCGGAAGCACGCCGGTGACCTCAGCCCCTGCCATTCAACGGTCGCCGGAGCAGTCTTGAGCAATTGCAAATAGCCCGGCGCTAACGGATGTAATGGAGACGCCAACAAGGCCGGGCGCGGGCGTATTACACCGTGGGACAAACGGAGAGGAAACGCAGCTCCATGGGAAGACGGCGGAGGGGACTAGAGCAAACATCCAACTTCTCACTCCGGAGCAGCCCGTACAGATCACGCCTAGCACATTGGAGGGGATGATAGCTACCGCGGTGGAAGCGAGAATGGCGTCGATCTCACCGCCGGTTAGGGAAGCAGTTGTTCGACCCAGAGCTCATGGGGTAAAGGATCGACCCGAGGCGCGGGAGGTGATAGCTCGACCAGAGGCAACAACTCGACCAGTCGGGCAACAGTTGATCGTGGGAGGACAGGGGCATGAGCCAGAGCGATCGGTCCACTCATCAGGGGCCTTACCACAATCGCCCAGAGACTCGATCTTAGAGCGCATGGCGAAGCTGTTGCTCGAGCTTCAAGAGAAGGTCAATGGGCGTCGAAGTCCGTGTCATCCACGTCACCCATTTGCAGACGAGGTGTTGGGAGCAGAGCTGCCGCAGGAATTTCGAGAACCTACCATGGCGTATGATGGCGCTACCGACCCGGCTCGACATCTGAGGAGCTTCGAGAACATAGTAGTGTTGCGCAGGTACAACAACGCGGTCTGCTGTCGGGCCTTTGTGACCACATTGAAAGGTGCTGCCAAGCAAATGAACGCGTGGTGGTCACGACAATTATCGGTAACCTTAAAATTGTTGAAAACTATGTTAGGCGGCTAAATCACTGTTTAATTCTTCTCTTTTATATGCTGGTTGACATGCTCACGAGGTGTTTGGCATAATACCTGAATGAAAGAACAATTTATAGCCTGCCAATAATTTGTGGGCCATTATGCGTCACTCAGAGATGTTAGAGAATAACATGTCATTAGTGTTGTTGAGGCTGAATACTAATCATGATATAGCATATTGCTTCAGATTGTTAAAGCTGAATAAACGTATTTACGTGTAAAAATAGATTCGAGATAATCTTGACAAAAACATTGGGGATGATTGAGAATCTCCTAAATTTGTTGTCGTAGAAGTGTCCAATGGTATTGACTAGGTTTGTTCACCTATCATTTGTAGTGTGAAATCCAAACAATTATGTGAACTCCATTCGGACAAAATACATGACCATCGCTTGTTCCAGGAAAATTATTGTGTTCTAGCTTGTTATGTTTGAAGCCTGCCTTTATCTTTTATATGAAGAATTTATCAATATCATTCGCAATTTACGGGACATCTCATTGCCTGTGTATGTCCTAATTTGAGGATATTATGATATTTATGTTCAATTTCTCATCTTTCTTGCCACTTCGAGCCTTTGGAGTTCACGTGAAGAGATCGGGTGAGTAGATACATCATGCGTCACCTACAAACCTTTTCAAGACCCAGCGGGTCGATCAGAAGCTCTACAGCTAGATCACCTGGGGCAAAAAGTTTCAAGGCTCCACGGGTCGACCAGAAGCTCTACAGCTAGGTCACCTGGAGTAAAAGTTTTCAAGGCCCCGCGGGTCGATCAGAAGCTCTACAGCTAGATCACTTGGGGCAAGAAGTTTCAAGGCTCCACGGGTCGACTAGAAGCTCTACAACTAGGTCACCTGGTTAAAAGTTTTCAAGGCTCCGTGGGTCGATCAGAAGCTCTAACGCTAGATCACCTGGGGCAAGAAGTTCTAGGCCATGCAGGTCGACCAGAAGCTCTGCAGCTAGGTCACATGTGGCAAGAAGTTTTCAAGGCCCCACGGGTCGATCAGAAGCTCTAAGGCTAGATCACCTGGGGAGAAGTTTCTGGACCACGCGGGTCGATCAGAAGCTCTAAGGCTAGATCACCCGGGGCAAGAAGTTTCTAAGCCACGCAGGTCGACCAGAAGCTCTACAGCTAGGTCACCTGGGCAAGAAGTTTTCAAGGCCCCACGGGTCGATCAGAAGCTCTAAGGCTAGATCACCTGGGGCAAGAAGTTTCTAGGCCACGGAGGTTAACCAGAAGCTCTACTGCTAGGTCACCTGGGGTAAAAGTGTTCAAGGCCACGCAGGTTGATCAGAGGCCTTCGGGCTAAACCATCTGGGGCAAAGATGTTCAGGGACATATGGTCGACTAGAAGCCGTAAGGCTAAGTCACCCGGGGCATCTCTCAAAGCCATAGGGTCGACTAAAAGCATTTGAGAAAAGTTCGACTGGAGCAACGATCGGGCAATAGTCTTTCCGAGCCATGTGGATCGATAAAAAGCCTTAAGGCTAGATCATCCGCGGAATGTCGCTGCCCCGCGCAAAGTGGGCGACCCACGTGAGGTTGTAGCCCTGCGCGAGGTCTTTGCCCCGCACGAAGTCACTCCACTCGATGTCGCCCCGCGCGACGTGGTCGACCCATGCAAAGTGGTTGGCCCACGAGATGTCGTCGCCCTGCGCGATGCCTTCGCCCCAAGCGACGTGGTCGACCCACGCAAGGTGATCGACCCACATGATGTTGTCGCCCCGCACGATATTGCCCCGCGCGACGTCGTTGACCCATGCAAAGTGGTTGGCCCACGAGATGTTGTCGCCCCGCGTGATGCCTTCGCCCCAAGCAACGTGGTCGACCCATGCAAGGTGATCGACCCACATGATGTCGTCGCCCCGTGCGATGTGTCCCAGCACAAAGTGGTCGACCCATGTGATGTTGTCGCCCCGTGCGATGCCTTCGCCCGGCACATTGTCGCCCCACACGATGTCGCCCCGTGCAAAGTGGTCTACCCACGTGATGTCGTCGCCCTGCGCGATGCCTTCACCCCGCACGAATTCGCTCCGCATCGACCCACGCAAGGTGGTTGGCCCACGAGATGTAGTTGTCCCGCGTGACGTGGTCGACCCACTAAAGGTGGTTGGCCCACGCAATGTCATCGACCCACACAAGGTGGTCGATTGGCGCAAATTAGTCTACCGTTGACCATGGTCGACACACGTAGATGGCCCATGGTCGACGCGCCGTCGACACGACCGACTAGCGATTAGAGTGTCCGATCCACACAGTCGACCCCCACTCAAGCTGACAATGTGCACTCGAGGTCGATGCGGTCGAGCCGTAGTTGACACGGTCGACCCGTGTATAACAGAATAAGAATATATAAGTAATAAAAACGACACACACGAACGTAATATTTGCAACTACACGAATTTCGTCGCGTGTAGTCGCAAATCAGAGGGAGTCCCATATCTGGGATTATAATACCGAACTGGATGGCAAGGATCGTGGGGGGTTCGACTTGTTCGAACGATCGAGCATGTACCTAGGGTCGATTGGGCGTCGACAACATCGACCTATTTGGCCCAGTATCGACATATGCACCCCAGCATCAACCTATGCGCCCCAAGGAGTCGACCATTAAGGGTCGATTGGCAACCGGCCCAAGGGGTCGATTGAAAACCGGCGAAATGATTTAAGCTCGAGCCTTGGCCCTCAAAACTCTCATGCGCCAGGTGCTCGGTAAACGAACGTCTATGGATATATGGTCCCGAGGACCGTACGCCAGAAGGTCAACTAGGAACCTTAGGGCAAGATTCGACTGGGGCAAAGCTCACGCAAGATTTTCAAGGCCACTCGGGTTGATTGAACTACGCGAGTGCGCGATTGACCCATGTGAGCAAACGATCGACCCCACAGGTGCACGATCGCCCCATACGGGTGCGCGATCGACCCATATTGGCTCACGATCGACCCATTTTGCAGGTGTGCGATCGACCCAGGGTCACGCAGAAAGTAAAGACTATGCATGTCGGTGCACGATTGACCTGGGGGAACGCAGGATCGCTGCATCGACATGCTCGACCCACGGTGG